AGAGTCATTTTCACAATGTTGATTCTTCCAATCCAAGAACATGGTATATGTCTCCATCTGTTTGTATCATCTTTAATTTTTTTCATCAGTGTCTTATACTTTTCTGCATACAGGTCTTTTGTCTCCTTAGGTAGGTTTATTCCTAGGTATTTCATTCTTTTGTGGCAATGGTCAATGGGAGTGTTTCCTTAATTTCTCTGTCAGATTTTTCATCATTAGTGTATAGGAATGCAAGAGATTTCTGTGCATTAACTTTGTATCCTGCAAATTTACCAAATTCATTGATTAGCTCTAGTACTTTTCTGGTAGCATCTTTGGATTCTCTATGTAGAGTGTCATGTCATCTGCAAACAGTGACAGTTTTACTTCTTCTTTTCCGATTTGTATTCATTTTATTTCTTTTTCTTCTCTGATTGCTGTGGCTAGAACTTCCAATACTATGTTGAATAATAGTGGTGAGAGTGGGCAACCTTGTCTTGTTTCTGATCTTAATGGAAATGGTTTCAGTTTTTCACCATTGAGAACGATGTTGGCTGTGGGTTTGTCATATATGGCATTTATTATGTTGAGGTAAGTTCCCTCTATGCCTACTTTCTGGATGGTTTCTTTTTTTTTTATCATAAATGGGTGTTGAATTTCGTCGAAAGCTTTTTCTGCATCTATTGAGATGACCATACGGTTTTTATCCTTCAGTTTGTTAAGATGGTGTATCACATTGATTTGCGTATACTGAAGAATCCTTACATTTCTGGGATAAACCCCACTTGATCACAGTGTATAATCCCTTTAATGTGCTGTTGGATTCTGTTTGCTAGTATTTTGTTGAGGATTTTTGCATCTATGTTCATCAGTGATATTGGCCTGTAGTTTTCTTTTTTTGTGAATCCTTGTCTGGTTTTGGTATCAGGGTGATGGTAGCCTCGTAGAATGAGTTTGGGAGTGTTCATCCCTCTGCTATATTTTGGAAGAGTTTGAGAAGGATAGGTGTTAGCTCTTCGTTAAATGTTTGAAAGAATTCACCTGTGAAGCCATCTGGTCCTGGACGTTTGTTTGTTGGAAGATTTTTAATCACAGTTTCAATTTCAGTCCTTGTGATTGGTCTGATTTTATTTTCTATTTCTTCCTGGTTCAATCTTGGAAGGTTGTACTTTTCTAAGAATTTGTCCATTTTATTGGCATATAGTTGCTTGTAATAAACTCTCATGATCCTTTGTATTTCTGCAGTGTCAGCTGTCTCTTCTCCTTTTTCATTTCTAATTCTATTGATTTGAGTCTTCTCCCTTTTTTTCTTTATGAGCCTGGCTAATGGTTTATCAGTGTTGTTTATCTTCTCAAAGAACCAGCTTTTAGTTTTATTGATCTTTGCTATCATTTCTTTCTTTTTCATTTATTTCTGATCCGATTTTTCTGATTTTTTTTCTTCTGCCAACTTTGGGGTTTTTTTGTTCTTCTCTCTCTAAGTGCTTTAGTGTAAGGTTAGGTTGTTTATTTGAGATGTTTCTTGTTTCTTGAGGTAGGTTTGTATTGCTATAAACTTCGCTCTTAGAACTGCTTTTGCTGCATCCCATAGGTTTTGGGTCACCGTGTTTTCATTGTTACTTGTTTCTAGGTATTTTCTGATTTCTTCTTTGATTTCTGCAGTGATCTCTTGGTTACTCAGTAGTGTATTGTTTAGCCTCCATGTGTTTGTATTTTTTACAGATTTTTTCCTGTAATTGACATCTAGCCTCATAGCGTTGTGGTCGGAAAAGATACTGATATGATTTCAATTTTCTTAAATTTACCAAGGCTTGATTTGTGACCCAAGATATGATGTATCCTGGAGAATGTTCCACAAGCACTTGAGAAGAAAGTGTATTCTGTTGTTTTTGGATGGAATGTCCTATAAATATCAATTAAGTCCATCATGTTTAATGTGTCATTTAAAACTTGTGTTTCCTTTTTATTTTCATTTTGTATCATCTGTCCAGTGGTGAAAATGGGGTGTTAAAGTCCCCTACTATTACTGTGTAACTGTCGATTTCCCATTTTATGGCTGTTAGCATTTGCCTTATGTATTGAGGTGCTCCTATGTTGGGAGCATAAATATTTACAATTGTTATATCTTCTTCTTGGATTGATCCCTTGATCATTATGTAGTGTCCTTCTTTGTCTCTTGTAATAGCCTTTATTTCAATGAAAATTGCTACACCAGCTTTCTTTTGATTTCCTTTCATGGAGTATCTTTTTCCATCCCCTCACTTTCAGTCTGTATGTGTCCCTAGGTCTGAAGTGGGTCCCTTGTAGACAGCATATATACGGGTCTTGTTTTTGTATCCGTTCAGCCTGTCTATGTCTTTTGGTTAGAGCATTTTATCCATTTACATTTAAGGTAGTTATTGATATGAATGTTCCTCTTACCATTTTCTTAATTGTTTTGGGCTTGTTATTGTAGGTCTTTTCCATCTCTTGTGTTTCCTGCCTAGAGAAGTTCCTTTAGCATTTGTTGTAAAGCTGGTTTGGTCGTGAATCCTCTTAGCTTTTGCTCGTCTGTAAAGGTTTTAATTTCTCCGTCGAAGCTGAATGAGATCCTTGCTGGGTAGAGTAATCTTGTTGTAGGTTTTTCCTTTTCATCACTTTAAATATGTCCTGCCACTCCCTTCTGGCTTGCAGAGTTTCTGCTGAAAGATCAGCTGTTATCCTTATGGAGGTTCCCTTGTTTGTTATTTGTTGCTTTTCTCTTGCTGCTTTTAATATTTTTCCTTTGTATTTAATTCTTGATGGTTTGATTAATATGTGCCTTAGCGTGTTTCTCCTTGGATTTATCCTGTATAGGACTCTCTGTGCTTCCTGGAATCAACTGACTATTTCCTTTCCCATATTAGGGAAGTTTTCAAGTATAATCTTTTCAAATATTTTCTCAGTCCCTTTTTTTCCCCTCTTCTTCTGGGACCCCTATAATTCAAATGTTGGTGTGTTTAATGTTGTCCCAAAGGTCTCTGAGACTGCCCTCAATTCTTTTCATTCTTTTTTCTTTATTCTGCTCTGCAGTAGTTATTTCCACTATTTTATCTTCCACGTCACTTATCAATTCTTCAGCCTCAGTTATTCTGCTATTGACTCCTTCTAGAGAATTTTTCATTTCATTTATTGTGTTGTTCATCGTTTGTTTGCTCTTTAGTTCTTCTAGGTCCTTGTTAAACGTTTCTTGTATTTTCTCCATTCTATTTCCAAGATTTTGGATCATATTTACTATCATTACTCTGAATTCTTTTTCAGGTAGGCTGCCTATTTCCTCTTCATTTGTGTGGTCTGGTGGGTTTTTACCTTGCTCCTTCATCTGCTGTGTGTTTCTCTGTCTTCTCATTTTGCTGAACTTACTGTGTTTGGGGTCTCCTTTCCACAGGCTGCAGGTTCATAGTTCCCGTTGTTTTTGGTGTCTGCCCCCAGTGGGTAACGTTGGTTCAGTGGGTTGTGTAGGCTTCCCGGTGGAGGGGACTGGTGCCTGTGTTCTGGTGGATGAGACTGGATCTTGTCTTTCTGGTGGGCAGGACTGCGTCTGGTGGTGTTTTTTGGGGTGTCTGCGACTTTATTACGATTTTAGGTAGCCTCTCTGCTAATGGGTGGGGTTGTGTTCCTGTCTTGCTAGTTGTTTGACATAGGGTGTCCAGCACTGTAGCTTGCTGGTTGTTGAGTGGAGCTGGGTCTTGGCATTGAGATGGAGATCCCTGGGAGATTTTCACCGTTTGATATTATGTGGTGCCGGGAGGTCTCCGGTGGACCAGTGTCCTGAACTTGGCTCTCCCACCTCAGAGGCTCAGGCCTGACACCTGTCTGGAGCACCAAGACCCTGTCAGCCACTTGGCTGCCAGTGTTGGGGGTTCTCCTGCAAAGGTGGGCGTGGCTGTGGCTCACCACGGGGACAAGGACACTAGCAGCAGAAGTTCTGGGAACTACTCCTTGGCGTGAGCCCTCTCAGAGTCTGCCATTAGCCCCACCCTACATGACTCTTTTGAATTACGGTTTTCTCAGGGTATATGCCCAGTAGTGGGACTGCATTGTTTTTAAAAGGCCTGGAGGGATACACTAGTATATGGTAGGGAAGAGGGGGGTTCCTGTTGGAAAATATGATGTGGGTGCTCATCAAAGCGAGTTCAACAGTATCAGTAATGCACTGTTTCTTTGAGTTAAAGAAATATGGCAACCTATGAATAACAGACAGAACTTTGTTATAGGAACATGGGTGTTTATTATATTATTTTTAATGCTTTTCTTTGTTTTTAAAATCTCTTGAATAAAAAAGGAGTAGAGCCGGTCATCATTCATGGAATTATTATACCTGCAAAGATGGACATCAATTTGTAAGAATGCTTCAGACCTGCCCTAACCAATATGGACCACTAGCACCGTATGGCTACTTAAATTTTAACTGATTAAAATTAAATGCAGGGCTTCCCTGGTGGCACAGTGGTTGAGAGTCTGCCTGCTGATGCAGGGGACATGGGTTCGTGCCCCGGTCCGGGAGGATCCCACATGCCGCGGAGCGGCTAGGCCCGTGAGCCATGGCCGCTGAGCCTGTGCGTCCGGAGCCTGTGCTCCACAACAGAAGAGGCCACAACAGTGAGAGGCCTGAGTACCGCAAAAAAAAAAAAAAAATTAAATGCAAATAAAAATTCAGTTCCTTGGTTGCAGTAGTCACATTTCAAGAGCTCAGCAGCCACATACAGATAATGGCTACCATATTAAACAGTAGATACAGATCATTGCAATCAGCATAGAAAGTGCTATTGGACAGCACTGACCTGTAGCATACATTTAAGAAATGTGAATATCTGAACTCTGTATCATTCTTCTAAACTTCTGGTCCCAGGTAATTCTGCTGCATTGTACACAGGGCATGTGCCCCCCGAATTATTTTTTCATATTTCTATTTGATATCCTATTTCATCTACCTTCCAGTTACCTGTGAATTTAAAGGGAAACAAACGCTGACACCACTTACTAACTGGTTCCTACCACAGTTTCTTTCTGTTTGTTGTAGGCGAACTGCTCCTGCTCTCAAGTATGATTTTCCTGCTCCCGGTGGTGTGTGGCTGCCCAGAGAGGTGCCGCTGTCACTCACCTTCAAATTTTGTAGACTGCAGCCGGCAGGGTCTGGCTGAAGTCCCTTCCGATCTGCCTCCTCAGACTCTAACCCTGCACTTACAAGATAACCAGATACGTCAGCTTCCGGCTTCTGCATTTAAGTCAGTGCCACAGCTCACAACCTTGAACTTGTACAACAATTCTCTTTCAAATCTGACCTCTGGAGTTTTCCATGGACTTCAGCACTTGCGGGTCTTAAACCTAACCCAGAATTCCCTGCATTCCCTGGAAAGCAGACTTTTCCATTCCCTCCCACAGCTGAGGGAACTTGATTTATCATCAAACAACATAAGCCACCTTCCCACATCCCTGGGTGAGCCTTGGGAGAACCTAACTGTATTTGCGATCCAACAAAACCAGCTTCAGCAGCTCGGTCGAGCCCTCCTAGAATCCATGCCCAGAGTGAGGCATTTATTTCTCAAGGACAACCTCTGGAAATGCAATTGCCACTTGCTCAGTCTTAAACTCTGGTTGGAGACGTTTATCTATAAAGGTCAGTAACGCCTAACTGTGTGTTACCAGCCTAGGATGAACCTCATCTCTTCTCTGCACTAGAAGGGTTGTTGAGGAGTATTTGAGGGATCCATGTAAGCTTTTTCACATTGATGTCATTTCATGGTATGGCAAAAGAGGCAAGTGAGTCATTAGAGGGTGTTTAAATTCAGGTATTTAAAATCATCTACAGATACGATTCATGGAGATAACTTTCCACTTTTTTTTTCTCCCCATCCTAACTTTCTACTCTTTGATTAACAACACCATTAAGTTATTTTTCTGGGAAATGTAGGCCCTTAAGGAAGAGGGAATTTCAATCATCACCTAAATAACTACTCAACTCTGAAATGACACCAAATTTTGATTTTCAAGTGTGATCCAACTGGGGGCATGTTATCTCTCCTTAGGACTTCCCCCTCTTCTTTGTCTGCTTCTGACCATTTGACAGCTGTGAATCTTCCCTGAGATTATCCATTCTGCTTTAGCAAACACCACTGTTACTGAAACTGGATACAGTAAGGTACCCTCTCCAAAGGGAACTACTATTTCTTTAACCAGGTATCAAAAGCAAAGCAAGAGATCCCAGAATATAAAAGATGAGGGGATCTAGAAATCACTCAGGGGTCAGCAAACCATAGCCCAAGAGCCAAATTTGCCCCACCTCCTATTTATGTAAATAAAGTTTTGTTGGAACAAATCCACACCCATTTATTATTTACTGTCTGTGGGTGTTTTGCACTATAAGGGCAAAGTTGAATAGCTGGGACAGAGACTATGGCAAGGCTTAAAATGTGAACTATTTCTGGCTCTTTATAGAAAAGTTTGCCAACCCCTTCTAACTCAATGCTAGCCTACTATCAATGGGAAATGGAGGCCCAGAGATGTTCATGACTTGACCAAGGTCACAAAGTAGAAGCACAGACAAGAGTAGAATGAGTGGCTTTAGGTCTTGGCCCTGCATTCTTTCCTCTGCATCACAGTGTTTCTTTCCTCCTAACTTTTAAGTATCATTCATTCATTCATCCTATACTTGAGTGAATCTTACGTGCCAGGGACATTTCTAGGCAATGAGAAAAGGTCAGTGAACAAGAAAATCCCCACCATCATGGGCATTACATTCTGACAGTAGAAACATGTTAAAAAAGACAAATATATACCCATGTTCAGATAGCAGTTAGTGCTAGAGGTGGGGTAAGGGGAGAGAGTAATGGGATGGGGGTTCCACTTCGGATGGGAAGGACAGGGAAGGCCCCTCCAAGGAGGTGACATGGGGGAGCAGAACTGGAACAATGAGGGGAAATGAACCATGAGATAACTGGGGGAAAGGACAGCAGTGTGAAGGCCCTGACAGGAAAGTAAGCTTGGCTCCACTGAGGGACAGAAAGAGGGACAAATGAGTGGCTAGAACAGAGGAAGGGAGTGAGAGAGGATAAGGCAGCACAAGTACCCAGGACTTAGGTCATGTTGGAACGTGCAGAGTAGGCTGAGACATTTGGATTTTATTTTAGGCGAGATGGAAATCTCTTGAAGAATTTTAGTCAGGGGAACAATATGATCTGATTACATTTTAAAAGGTCACTCTGGTGACTCTAGGGAGAGTAGACCAAAAGCTACAGAAGAAGAAGCAGGGGGATGAGGGAGAAAGTGATTTCAGTCATGCAGGGAAAAGATGATGGTGGCCCAAACCAGAATGATGAGAAATTATCAACTTTGGGAGATATTTAGAATATTAAACTGATAGAAATTACTAATGGGTTGGCGTGGGAGATAAAGAAAAGAGAGTATATTATAGGAAATTCAATTTTGTTTTGTCCTTCAGGAGTAACCAGATAAATGGTGATGCCAGTAGCTGATAAGGGGCAGGCTGGGGAATAGGGGAAATGGGCAAGTATGTGTACGAGGTGGTAAATCAAGAACTCAATGTGGGGTGTGTCAAGTTTGAGATGCCCATTACATAGCCAAGGAGTGTTGTTGAGTTGGTGGCTATATATCTGAGCCTATAATTTGGGAAGATATCAGAGCTCCAGACATGAATTAGGGAATCAACAGAGTCTAGATGGTTGCAGCAGTTACACAGAAGGAAGTGGGAGAGAGCACATGAGTTCAAATAAATAATATTGACTTAAGAATCTCTCTCAACAATAGCCAATAGCTTATCACTAACCAGCTGATCTTCAAGTTGATCTACAACAGAGGCCATATAATGTGACAAAAATCTTTCTTATAGGAGGTTGCAAATAAAAGTGTTTATATCTAGAGGTGAAGTGGCTTCAGCTGTTGTGTTCTAGACTAAATGGTAAGCATAAGCCAAAGCATCAGAGAAAGATGGTTTTCATCAATTAGAAATATTTCTTGACAAAAAATATTTCTCAGGTCCAGGATATTAGAAGCAACATAAGGTATGATATAGCTCCCCCTACTCAGGCACAAACTCACTGGTGATCTTCAGGCAAATTGATGCCCCTCACTAGCCCTCAGTGTCACCAGGTGGAAATGGACAGTGTTAAGCCAGGGAGTTCCTAAGGCTCGTTCTGGTCCTCAGATTCCACAGTGCGGTTCAACGCTCCCTCATGGCGGAGCTGCCCCGTCTGGATGACAGTCTTTCTCTGGAGGAAGGCAAAATTTATTTGGGATAACAAGACCTGGGTGTCCCAAAATAACTAAATAAAATCCCCAAGTGAATGTAGGAGACAATCTGACTACTGATGCATTGAATAAAGGCAAAATAAGGGAATAGGTATTGGTCAAGACCTTAGTTCCCACCAAGGGGGAACAAAGTATACGGAGGATGAAGCAGGGGGGTTTGTGGCCTGGAAGTGTCACTCATTGGTTCTGTTGGCCAGAACTCAATCACGTGGCCCCAATCTGACCACAAAGGGTGGGGAAATTTCATCTTCCTGTGGACCCAACAGAGAAAAAACATGCTTTGATGAATACCTAATAATGTCTCCTCCACAAAAACATGCACATAGATTTTGTAATTAGCATTCCTCTCTCTCCATTCATAACTAAACAAATCATCTTTATGCTGACAGCTAACTGTATTAAACATTTATTCTGGGCTAGGAATTGTGCTAAATACTTGACATACTTTATCCAACTGAGTCCTCAAAGCAATCTTGTGAGGTAGATTTCATTATTACCCCAGTTTCCCACTTCCCAGGTGAGCAAGCAGAGGCACAGAATGGTCAAGTAACTTGCTTAGGGTTGCACAGCAAAGTAATGGTCAGACTCAAGATTTGAATCCCATTTCTTCCCAAGACAGGGGTTAAGAGCTGCTAGTGGACAGATGATGAATAATGTGAGTGCTTGGAAAGCTGGAGCTTCTTGCACTGTCAGCTGCTCTGAATCCAGAAGAGACTGAGACCCTCAAGCTGTCATCTGCAGATTTGCTTCCTGGGGTCATGGCTGAGGAGATGGTGGTGGAAGGCTGGGAAGTGAGTCCTGGCTAAGGACACAGGAGGCCACGGAGCTCTTGGTGGCCATAATCCCTGCCTTCCAGCAACATCCCAGGCTCTAGTCTGTGTATTCTCCTGGCTCTGTGTCCTGAGGCCATGCCTCCCACCCTAATGTTGAACAGCAGGAAGCCTGGAACTGGAGAAAGACAGAGCTTAACCCTGAAGTTACTGGGTGAACCGCCCCAGTCTAGGTCAGCTGGTCCCATGGCATGTGGCCTTTCTTCCCCTGATGAAAGTCTCAGTGCTCTTTGCCTGGGTTAAATATGGTTACTTCTCAAGCCCCCACACTTCTTTTCTGCTCTCTGGCCTTCTGCTTTACAACCAGCTTCCAGGCAGAGTATTGAAACGGTCTCTGAGACAGGGATCCTTAATCACGGTGCAGCCTGATGGCGCCTTGGGCTCATCCAGAACAGGCACCCCACACCTCTGGCCTCCTGCACCTCAGCTCAGGAAAGGAGAAAATTCCTGTTATCTTTTTGCTTTAGAGTTGACGCTCTTGCCTCAGGGGATCACTGAAGAAGCCAGGATGGGCCCAAGAGACTCTGGCAATAGGTGACTCAGTTCAAGCAGTAAAAGCAAAAAAGGTATGAGTTGAATTTTGTCATGGCCACTGACCCCAGTGTGACCTGGGCCACAATAACCCCTGAACTGCAAATTGGCCCCATCTACTAATACGGCCATGGTAAGACTCAGCTTATAAGGCTCAGACAGAATGGATGTGAAGGCATTCCCAAAACTCTGAAGTGCTACACAAAGGAAGGTTCTAATAACATTGAAGTGACAAGCTCCCGCATGGCAACTTCTGGTACAGTTTCATAATTCACCTACGATGTGTACAAAGAATCTCCAGTCTGACTTGGCTAAGATTGGTGCCAGGCTTCATGGGGGTGAGATTCTACTGAGAGTCATGTGTTAACTCCACTGACCTCAGGATGTTTCAGAGAGGAGGAAGTAGAGAGAGGCGGTAGGTGTAGCGGGGAAAACCGGGATCACAGGACAGAGCTGGGTTTCGGTGTTGATCTATCCACTTATGACCTGAATGACCTTGGATAAGAATTACCCATAAGAGCAGAGTTGTGAGGACTTATCTGACAGTGCTTTATAAACTATCAAGTCAGATACGAATAGGATGTTTTCATGGCAAAAAATTTAGTCAGAGAACTTTATCTGCCTGAGGTCAAGTAGTAAATTGGTGGTCAAATTTGGCCAGGATGGAATCTGTTAGCCCAGTGTTCTTTCTAGAAAAGAACTTCTAGGCACACAAATTCTTCCTGAACAATAGTAGTCCACACACATGAGGAAATTAATCCCCTTAGAGAGAATGGAAATTGAGTCCAATAACCCATTAGAAAGTGCGATACTTGGGACTTCCTTGGTGGTCCAGTGGTTGAGACACCACGTTCCCAATGCAGGGGGCTCAGGTTCGATCCCTGGTCAGGGACCTATGATCCCGCATGCCGCACGGCAAGGCCAAAAAAAAGAAAACACTGAGAAAGTTTGGTACTTTAAGTACTAAGTGTTTCGAGGTCTGAGGAGACACGTTAATTGTATTTAATCCCATGAACTTAACTCATATTCCCGTCAAACCTTCAGATACACAAAGCACTCACTCACAGGGCCATTGATCTCCCGGTTTGGCATCACTGAAGAGTGTTGGTAGAGACAGAGGGTCTTTGTAATTAACACATAACATCACAACAAAAGACATTTGTTTTATTTATTTATTTTTTAGCTCTCCTGTGGGAATTTGGCACAATAGATTTCTTGTGTGGCAGGGCTCATTAGGGCATGCAACAGTGCCCTCAGGCTGGCCTCCAGCGCCCCTTCCTGTCAGCTTTTGCATTGTTATTCCCTTGGCATTTATAAGGTAAAGGTGACTTAGCTTCTAATGAACTCTTGGTCACACATAATTGTCCATTTAGTGTGTGGTATTTTTAGCATTTAGCCAATTTAGAAACCCTAAAATCATAAAATACGATTGTTAAATTTTTTGACTCCAGGAAAAAAAAAAAGGTGTTTTATAAATTCCATCTGCCTAAGTTTTTACAGGTTGAGGATTTGGGAGTTTGGTTGTATCAGGCTCTGTTATCATTCTTTGCTTTTGTTTCTCAAAGGGGGAATAACAGACAGCATCATCTGTGCCTCACCGGACACCTGGAAGGGAAAGGACCTCCTTAAAATCCCTCACGAGCTGTACCAGCCCTGCCCTTTTCCTTCTCCAGACCTGGAGTCATCACAGGTGCAGCAGCTAGGTGCTGCCCACCGGGCTGTACCCAGGCCCCCTGAGAGCCACAGCTCAGGGGAGCGAGACCACTGGGAGTGTGAGATCAAACCCAAGCCGAGGCCAGCCAATCTGCGCCACGCCGTGGCCACCATCATCATCACAGGGGTGCTGTGTGGGATCGTGTGTCTCATGATGTTGGCGGCTGCCATTTATGGCTGCACCTATGCAGCTATTACCGCCCAGTACCATGCGGGACGCTCGGCTCAGATCAATGAGCCTGCGAAGACAGAAGGAAAAGAGCTCTTTGACAGCTCAATGGCCTGAGAGCTTTCATCTCAAATAGGAATAATCATTATAGGCCAGAAGAAAGTTTCTGAGTAGGGCTGATGGTTCACTGTTACTGCCTCATTTTCTTTTTCCAAAAGGAAAAAAAAAAAAAAAAAGATGTGTCTGTAAAAAAAGACAGTATTCCTGGGAAGAAATTTATGTTGAGATTTTTAAAAAAATACCATAGTTGAAACAGAGATGATAACTTGTGCTCTGTGCCTGAGAAGTTATGACAATATTCTATGTGGGGAAGGCTGTCCACAGAGAAAGGGAAGATACATCTTTCAAGGTACTCTTCCCTGCATTAAGTTGCCTTTACAGGGCAGCAGAAATACAAACACGCATGCCAGCATTCCTGGCAGCTTTGTGGTCCACTGGAAAACTGCCCAATTTTGAGTGCCTGGGAAGAAGCTGGCAATCTTACCCAATGGGCACTGAGTGCTTCTATAGTCCAAGTTCATGATAGACCGGTGATACTTTTAGATGTTAGGTATGTTATATATTTAGCAAAAGCGTCTGTTGGTTGGGAATTTTGTAGCTTGCCACAAGAGTCAGATTATATTTAATTTTCTAAATCAGAAAACCATTTGGGGCTTTCTAGGCCACAGAAGAAGAAGAGGGCTCCATGACTGGATAATGGGACTCAGGCCCAGGGTCTGGGGAAGTTTTCTGATGCAAGGGTAAATAACATATAAACAAACACAAAGAGGATGGGGTGGCGGAATTCGAGGCACTATTACCCAAAGGCCATATCCACCAGGCGATTGGAACCTTCCATTTATAACTCTCACAGCAGGAATGAATTTAGGGTGGGCTGAGAGCAAGATAATGGCTTATGTGTATCTGTATCTACGTACATAGTGTGCAGAGTGCATAGGCTTGTTCAACCACACCCACACATAAACATACTCAGAGCAATCAGTTTACCCACTAATGAAATGCAGCCGCGGCAGGGTGGAAGCCAGCAGCTGTTGACCACCACCCAGATTGTCTACTCAACACTCTGGGATAGGAAGTCAGAGGAAGTCTGAAGAGAGTGGGAATTATCAAGAGGCTGGAGATACGTGGGAGCAGCCGTCCTGAACATCATTTAGGCTGGGGTTTAAAAAAATCAGGTGTGGCTTGCTTGACTCCACAGACACGGTCCTGAAGAGCTGCATGCAAAGGAAATTTTTGTAAATTGAATCATCATTTTAATGCAGTAGGGGATCTCGCTATTTAAAGGAACCTTTCATGGAATCTTTCTGTAATGGCAATAATTGGCTCCAGATTTATGTATTTTGTAAATTTGCATTTTCTCATGCTAGGATTTCTTAAAGTAGAATCTACCTGCTCTCTCTCTCTCTCATGATGTCCCATCTCATACTTAGTCACCTGTTAGTATTAAAATCATTTTACACAGAGGAGTTAAGGACTTGGCAAAAGCAAGGAATAGCAAATACAGGGCAAGCTGTCCCTCCAGAGGCCTTGACAGACATCATTAATCAATCCCAGCACTCCTCCCTGAGCCCTGATGCACCACAGATGCTTTCTTAAGACAGCACTGTAAGGCAACCAGAACTAATCAACTGGAATTGGTTCAAAGGATAAAACATATTTGTCATTCAGGGTACTGGCCCTATATTCACTCTTTCAGGCCATGTAAAAGTTGCTTGGATCCTAAATCAGCAGTCCATTCCATAAACTGGCATGTGAATGGGCGGTCCATTCAGCCTGGAATACTGTTTCCCTGTGTGATGTGGCCAAAGCCTTGCCCAACAGTATAAAGAGGCCAAGGGAAAGACGGATGAACCTACCCTAGCCTACCCTGCAGGACACAGAGGCCATCTATACCTGCTCACAGTGCTTCACAACTAGTGTGGGCTGCCCACACCCACAAGTTAAAGATGGGCCATCTCTTTGGAGCAGCAATTTTGCTAAATGATTCTTCTGGGGGAAAAAGTATAAATTTGATGTTAATTTTTTCTGAGTATTAAAATAAACCTGGGTACGTTAAAGAGTAGTTTGAAAAATTAGCATATGGATTTTAAGATCAAAAAGAGATTCCAGAGAAAGTCAGCTGCTGCATCAGCTCCATCCCAAGCCTGGTGCTTCCTTTCTTCTCTGCTTCGTGCACCACTTCAGTGGGCGAGCCTGAGCATCCGGTCTAAGGTTGTAGGGATTATTTTCCAGGTGGAAAAAAAATCTTTCTTTCCCTTGCCCTGGACCATGAGCCCTTGGCCAAGAAAGCACTATGAGAAGGGAAATCGAGAAGATCTTTTTATACATCGTCCTCATTTCACCAAATGTTTCTGGAGTTCGTACTACGTACCAGGCATGGTGAGAGGCGTTCTCGTGAACATTCGTGTAATCTTGGCAACCATGCTGTGAGATACTTGAACAGATATTACATAAGCTGGGAACTACTGAGGCCAACCACAAGTGCCTCTTCTCATTGCTGTGATTTAAGACATGCAGTGCACCGTGCTCTGCCGGAGGCCTGGTGACTGTACAGGTCAATCCCGTCCCCCTGGCCACAGTGATTACATGACAGAGCTTCCAATGCACCGCTGAAAATCCTGAAAGTGGCTACTAGAATCCTCACTCCTCAACACCCACGTCCTATTAGATTTCTAAGCACAGATGATAACTCAGGCAAACAGATTCCTGCTTTATGAGAAGTCTTTAAGGAGAATGACTAAAATGATGTCTTCATGTATTCAGATTTCTATCTTTTGCCTATAGTCACCAAAAAGAGCAGTTAACGATGAAAATAATTACCCTAAAATGTCAACAATTCTCTCAGCACAGAAAAATATAAATCAAATTGTTTAGATTAACAATTCAGCGTTATCATTTGTTAATACGAGAAATGAAATGTTTTCTCTGTTAAAAACATCACAGATGAAAGACCCAATTTGCAGGGTATTCTGTGAGAACCACAAATTATCTTTCACAACCACTACAGCTCATGAGGGGTAATTTGCAAATGCTTCATAGATTATTTTCAGCTGTTTATTGCTGCTGTCATATTTATAAATTCCCCTATAAAAATGCCCTTCCTTCAAAGAGTCATAGAGCCTTACTGAAGGAATATGTGAACAAATATCACGTTTAGTGTTGATTGTTTCTGAGAAAATCATGTAAAATATAGTTTCTTCATTATATTTAGCGGAACAGTATCACTATTTTTGCTCTGCCAGAGATCACAAATTCACAATAGCAGGACCCAACAGACATGAGGCATATAAAGACGGCGTAGGAGGAATTTCTTCCACAGAGATCGTGGAGAAAGAAGACCTAGTGTCAAATCTATACCTGGAAAGCTTTTAAAATTAAGGCAAAAATCCGTGACCCTGTGGGAACAATCTTGTGCTTCAGATGATAATATGCCCACAGACAACTGGGTATTTTATTTTTTTCTTACTAAAATGAAAGACTGAAAAGTGAATCATAGGATTGCCTCCCGAAGGTTCATGAAAATCAAATCTCATTACTCAAGTTTACCAAGTTACCCCAGAAATGTCACACTCGTCTTAGATCCAAAATATCAAAGGAAGTGGCTCAATTTCTAAAATGATCTATCCATAGCACCCATTATCATAATTATACAACTGTTAGAAACCTATAACTTTCTATCACAGATCAGGAAATAACTGTTTTCACTTGGGTCAAACCCACCAGTGTATCCATTGCTAAATGCTATTAGACAGAAAACTACCAGCAAATGATATTCCAACCTCACATGGCATCACTGGGGTGTGGTTTATATGCACAACTTCAGGGAACTAACCTGCTTTCCCCTGTGATGAAAATGGTTTTTTAAATTTATTTTTTAATGCTCAAAATGCAATAAAATCTCAAAGAAACCTCCCTCCGGTTGGGAGAAGCAGCTTTCTAACCCCTCACTTTCTTTTCAGATTCTTGACTGGAGTATCCACACCTACTTTTCACTCCAATGACAATGAGTATTCATTTGGATGGATAGGATGTGACCCAGTTTCAAAGACTCATCAAGAAGAGCCAGAAAAAGAAAAAGATGATTGGGAGTTGGGAAAGTCCTTGGAGAGCATTTAGTCTAGGTCTGGCAAATTTCAGAATAGCTGTGACCAGCCTCCCTACCTGTTTCAGACATTGCTAATGTCTGGCCTCAGAATCTTTTTTAATCTGTTTTCTAGGTACCTACTCCTGATCAACTGCAGTCGACTTATGAGACTAAACCTATCTGCTACCCTCATATAGTTCCATATTCTTATTTTACAAATAGCAATTGGAAGCATGGAAAAGGAAAGGAATTATCCCAAAGTCGCACAGATAATTAATTGCACACCTGATAAATGCAGTTTGCAGGAGCATGGGGTTAGAATGTATAACACAACCCAACCCCTGCCATCCTTCATTCATTCTGGTGAACCACAATATGAAGACTATGGGATTATTATATTAATTATTTGGAAAAGAACAATTATAGTACCACCATCAACATTTATTGAACACCCAGTTTTGTGCCAGTGGTTTTCAGTGTAGTATTTTCATTTTCCTCTAAGTCTCAAATTAACCAAAAATGTGAACATTTTACTGCCACATGACAGATGAAGATACATAATCATTGGGTTTGGGTCGCTTGTCCAAGGTCATATCATTAATTAGTGGAGTAGGAATTTGAATGAAGGATACATGGGTTTCTTCTTATGCTTCTATCTACTTTTTAGTATATTCAATATTATCCATAATAAATGTTTTTTAAAAAAGAATGACTCCAAAGTTTTTAGACTGAATAACCAGATAACTAGAATGACTTAAATGTGGAATCGATTGCATTTGATGGGCCTATTTGAGAGGCAGGGACACTGAGCAGTCAAGGGAGAGAGGCTGGGCTTGGGAATCACCAGCTCATGAAGGGTGTTTAAAGCTTGAGAGTGGACAGGAACCCTGAGGCCCTCCGACATGTACAATCAGGAGATGAACAAAGTCAGCAAAGGAGGCCTAGGAGGGTGGGCAGTGAGGTAGGCAAAGAATCAAGTAAAGAGGTTTGCAAGGAGAACGTGATCAGCTTGGCCAAGTGCTGCTCACAGAACAAGAAAAATGAACATCTGAAGTTCAATTTTGGATTTGGTAA